GCTCTTGCGCGGCAATCTCTTTGAGGAGGAGAGCCATCATAGGCTTGTTGTCGTTGAGCTCCATAGTGAATTCCGCACCACTAACTGTGAGAAGAACCGGTTGTTCTTGTGTGGGGGTTGGAGGGACTGGAGTTGTCGAAACCAGCGAAAGAAGGACTATTTTCCATCCCTTCCAATGGAAGATAAACGTGTTGACCTTGTGAGTTACGTCCCGGTCAAATTGCTAAGGTCTACCTAAGAGAAGGTGGCAAGCGTCCATGTCTAGCACATCAAAAGTCAATTCACCTTGATAAAGCTTGTCGATAGAGAAAGAGACCCGGCACACCTCTGTCACTTGGCTTGCTGCCCCTCTCTTAATCCAGCCCACCTCGTAAGGATTTGGGTGTTTTTCAGTTGGCAAAGAGGGGGCCTTAACCAAGGCCTTGGAGACGACGTTCTCTGTGCTGTCGCTATCAACTATGAGATCACAAACCTTCTGGGCAACGGTGCATTGAGTGCGGAATAAGGCATTCCTTTGAGTGTTGCTAGACCTCTTTGGAGTCAATAATAGTTTCTCAATAATGCACTCAACATGCTCTCCCTCATCCCCATGCACAAATTCGGCCACATCATACTTATTTCCCAGTAGGTTCGCATCATCAAACTCATGCCTAAACTCACAATCATCCTCCACTAAAGCTACTTGTTTCCTGCTGGCTCATTGCATCAGTAGCACTTTCCCAGAGCTGGTCTTGCATAAGGATTCACATGCCTAGGGGCAGGGAGATTTACCTTGCTTCCACCAACGATTCCTTCTCCCGATCCTTTTGGGACAGAGTTATTCCCAAGGACAGGTGGATGAGGTGCTCTGGGGTGGTCTCCAGCGCTCTCAGCAAATGAACGTCGCTCTTGTGAGCTCCTACTAGCAGACTTGGATAGGTGTGCCTCAGCCCGGTAAGGTAGGTTGACCACTTCTGAGAGTGTCCAAATCGACTGCAGATCTAGTTGATCTTCGATTGGTTCCTTTAATCCCCCAAGGTAGCGATCTACCTGTTGCCTCTAGCTCTCAGCCAAATCTATTCGAGCACTTAGCTTGTAGAACTCCTCTGTGTAATCCGCCATAGTTCGGTTCCATTGTCGACACTCCTGGAGCTGATGGTATAGGATATGCTCATAGTCAATCGGAAGGAAGCGAGCTTTGAGGAGTTGCGGCATCCTAGGCCAAGATTGAATGGGCAGTCTTCCTTTCTTAATTCGATCAAACTGGATCTGTTTCCACCAAGCCGACACACCACCCTTGAGCCTATATGCAACAATTTTTGCTCGTTGCTTTGTAGGGGTCCCAGAATAGTCAAAGAAATTTTCTATTGTTTGCAGCTAGTCCAAGAAATTTTCTATGTGCAAATGGCCATCAAAATATGGCAGGTTAATTTTAATTTTGAACTCCCGGTATGTCGAGCACGATGGTTTTGGGGTTCTCTCTCATGCCTCATTTCGTCCTTTAAGAGTTCTTCTAGATCCTTACTGGTCTCATATTCAGTAGTTGGAGCTTGCTGCGGGGGAGGATGACGGTCATCGGCGCCGACATCGTCTGACGAGTCGTTTGGTTCCCGCTGTTAGATTCTTCTTCGATGGTGCTTCTGAGGTTCAACAGGCCTTTCGCGAGCTAGTTCTTGATCCCGAGTTGGTTGGTCTCGTTGGTTCACCAAAGGGTCATTAGCGATCTGAGCCAAGCTTGCCGCATTTCTTGAGCAAAATCGGTAAACTTCCTGTCCATACCACTTATAGCTGCCCACCAGGCCTTCACGGCGGGGTCTTCACCATCGCCGAGGTGACTGCTACCCTCCTTACTCATCATCTTCGCCAGGGCTATAATAGAGGCTCTGATACCAGATATGGCGCAACAGTCTAATTAGAGTTAATGGGAGCTCAACTTTTCAGCCAAAAATGGCGAAGAGCCAATGACAAGAACAAAGATAGATTTCTGATGAAAAAGCGGCGTACAACTTAGGCTTAGTTTAGTAGTGCTGTGGATTTTGGAAAAATTGCTTTTAGCTATACTGAAGGAATAAACAGCTGTTACAAAAAGTAGCGGAGTGTTTGGTAAATTATAATTATATTAGTTGTGTTGGTTCCAAAATCATTGTAATAGCATTTGGTAAATTGTGTGGTTAAATTGCCGTGGGTAGTTAAAATAACCAAAATAGATATGGTATGAAACTTAAATATATATAATTTTTTTTGGTATTTAGAAATACTTATTTAACTTAAAAAGAAAAAGAAAAACATAATGCTTGTTTAACTTAAAGAAAAAAACAAATTTAAATAAGAAAGGAAGCATATAAAAATGTGTTTGTTATTAAGAAATACTCGTTTAAATTAAAAAATAAAAACTTGATTTGGTGCTGAGGTATCTAACATTAAATTTATAATAATTTCTTCTTTTTTTTCATTTCTTCATTGACAATATGTAGTTACAAAAAAAAAAGAGCATTAGTGAGTAATCCACATATACAATCTAATTTATCATCTAGGTAAAGACAAAATATACATTTCACCCTCAAAATTGTGGTAAATTGTATATTTCTCCTTTACATTATAAACTTGCTTCAAAAAGAGGGCCTTTCCTATTGGCCATGGGAGATCGGAACAATATATCTTTTGAGCGGAACTACCATCACTTCCCACCCAGAGTTCATACGTAATTTGCATAAGCAAGCCACGAAGTGAGCATCGTCTTTGTAGATATCCAATCTGGAACTGAGTAGAGCTCATTATCCAAATCAATAATTCCATCTTTTTTAGTTCTCTCAATGACTCCACCCTTCTCATTATTGTAGGCCACATAATCACAAGACTCAATGTAAGGAATTTGATCTAACAGAGAAACAAATCTAAATATTAATGATCAATATTCTTATCTATATACCTTTTTTCTTTTATAATTATGCTCATCTACACACATTCCATCAACAAAGAAAAAACTCTATGCAAAACATATATAGAACCATAGAATCAAGTCAAGTGTGCAAAATATCCATATTCTCTAGAAAAGCTTCTCCATGACACTTTTTACAAGCTCTACACTCGAAAAACTTTACAAAAGAGAAAGAAGATTCACACAACGGAATTGGATAAATCCTAACAAGTTCTCAGAAGTGCACTTTTAGTAGAGGCATTGAAGGAAGTCAACTTTTTTCATCACACAAACAAAAAACTTTTCCCAACTTTGTGTTTTTTTAACTCATAAGGGTACCAAATTCTATCAAGAGCTGAAACCATGTGCAAACATTTGCCATTCCATGTTCATAAGATAATAAATTCAAGTAGTTTCTTTAATAGAGTAACACAAATTGATCATGGAGACAATTTTTAACCAAGATCTCTTTTTCTAAAGTAAATATCATTGTGAAACTTCAAGCCAAAATATATATATATATATATATATATATCATTGTGAAACCAATTATCACTATTCCAAGTTCAACAAGCTAGGTTAGATTGATAACATCCTAAGTGCAAGTCATCCAAAAGATTCAATATTTCTATTCGTCTCTTCCAAATTAACCAAAATTATATCTAAGAGAATCAAAAGAAAAAGAAAGAACATGATTGCATTCACAAAATTCAACGTGTCATTTTGAGTTCAACAAAAATTTTGCGCTGGAAATTCAATTTACATAACCATTTACAAGCCAATTCTCAACCAAGAAATCCGACAAAATCCCAATTACCCAACAAAAATCCAAACATGAAAAACAGAGAAACAACATTAAATTCTGAAAATACACACACACACATACATATAAAGAAATGAAGATTGAATGTTTAGTATTTTACCAGAATCTGGATAAACAAGATTGAAATTCAAGTGAAAAGGAACATCGGCAAATCGGAGGTACCCGCCAAACCCACACCCACGCCCACACAACAACGACGTCGTTTCCTTCTTCCTCTAACCAACTCCGGCAGGAGCCGGTCATCATTTACACCGTCTCTCCCAAACAAACGAAATACAGAGCAGAGAAAAAAAAAGATTTTTTCCAAAATCCATCAATCCAGAGAACAAAAAACCAAATCAACATTCAATACGAAACTAAATGGAGTACTTACAAAGGCTATTGATATGATGAGCTCCAACCGGCAACCCGACAGTGTCCAACTAGCCCGAAATCAGGTAATCCTAACGAGAACAAACCAAGTCTCACCGAAAGAACAGAGAGAGATGAGAGACTCCGCCTCGCCGAAAAGCGCAGGAACAACTCGGAAACGGAGAAAGGGGAGTCCGAGAAAGCATAGTGAGAGAAGAGAGAAATAGAGAAAGAGAGACCTTTGCCTGAGAGAGAGCACGTGAAGAGCAAGTGAGAGGAGAGTGCAAAGGAGGTGAAAATTTGTGATGGACATTTCTTACATTCAGCAAGGTTAATTTGGGAAATAAGAAAAATTTCATTAAATGTGGTGATGGATTCCCGCACAATCTAGAATCAGAAACAACCTTTGGGCTGCTTCTGATTTTGAGCCCAAATCCCACACAAATTCTTTAAGAAGTACTTTTGAAGGTTTTTACTAAACACAAAAAACAGCTTTAGCTAGGTAGAGAATTGATTTTGGGCTCCCAAAATCTCTACCAAACCCACCCTAGTCTTGTAGGGTTTAAGCGGTGCTTCCATTATCCTAAACGGACCGTAGTTTGATTACAACCATAAAACGTCAATAAACTTAAAAGTCCTTAAACGGCACAAATACTTAAAAGAAAACGACACAAGCTAATTAAAGAAAGTTAAGCTGAAAATCAGTTAGTGGGCCTAGCACGCAGGCCCATGTGCCCTGCATCAGTCTTGGCCCTGCATCATTTTGTCTCAGGTTTTGTTTTTGTTTTTGTTTTTTTAACCTCCACAACTTATATTTGAGTTTCATACAGTAGATTTTTTTTTTTTTTTGGTGCCAAAGTCCTGAACTAGAATTGTTAATCTCTTTTACAAATTGTTTTTACTGGTTAATGGTTTGGTTTTCCATTTTAGATTTTTCAACTGATGGAAGATGGTGCTACATAGTTTTATGGGTTGCTCCGAATCCTAGCTCGCTTAAAGTTGATTGGGAAAGCTTGAAAAGCCGGCTTGTTTCCATATGCCCGTCATGTGCATTCCCAGTTTACTTAAATCAGCATTCAAACAATCCATCGCCTTCTCCTGTTTACCTGTTGAAGTTTTTATACCTTGACTGGAAAGGACTTTTACATGGTAATTAAAATGAGTGTTTCAAAGTATTTGTTCTTAGTTCTTTGATTTTTTTTCCCCTCAAAAAGAAAGCTGGTAGAGTAGAATGGCATTGCTTTTGCATTTGGGCAGATGTTACTAAAGTCCTCTGCGAGCTTGAACTAATAATCCAAAGAGTAAAAGCGATGCCGACCCCGGATGGCAAAGTTTTGGACCTTTTCTTCGTTACAGATTGCATGTGAGTTTTGTATATTGTATACTAGGGAATCTCACATCTAGTTGCATCATATAAAACGCAGTCTTTAACTCAGAAGTCATTATGCATATAAGGATTCTTTTCTGTTGGCTATTTTGCTTCACAGTCCATTCGTTTGAACGTTGAAGTTGTTTTTTTTTTTTCGCTTTTTCAAGTGATTCAATTTTTCGAAGAGTTTTTCACTTCACCTAGTCAACCAGAAGTTTTTGTTGACAATATATTGTTTGCACTTTTTTAATAGTTCTATACCAATAATCACTTCATTTTTTTGAGGGAAAAATAAGAAGTTTCAAAAATTGCAACATGTGATAGGGTCGTACATCATAACAGTAGTTGATTCATGATTGTAATTACCCTGACCATTTTATATTTTTGTACACATTTTAATAGGGAACTATTACACACAAAGTTGAGAAGAGATGCCATATGTGAGCACCTGATGGCTGCTTTGGGAGACTATTGTATTGCCTGTGAGATTCAACTGGCTGGGCCTGAATATGAAGGTTTGCAAGGGTATTCTTCTCTTGCACCAGCCATTGCTGATGAACTATTCGGTTATGAGTTGTCGGACTCAGAAGCCCGTCTGCAAGCTCTTAGCCCGGATACAAAATTGAGAAAGACAGCTACTATTACTGTCGATAATTTATTGAGCCCCTCTCATACCTTGCTTCATATAGAGTGTGTTGACCAGAAGGGCCTCTTTTATGACATTTTGAGGACCTCCAAGGACTACAACATTCGGGTACTTCTCATAACTTCATTCTTGGCTCTTTTTAGTTCCTTTTGACACAATTAGGAATCTAAATCAGTGTCCTGACCCTTTACTGGTGCTCTGAGCTATTACTCTTTATGCCTTTTGTTAGACTGTTTGCTATTAGTTTCGTAAAAGGATCAGCGGGATGCATTATCAATAGATGGTTCCATTTAAGCGCTTTGCTGAAAAGGTTTCCTGTTGTTTTCTCATTTAGATCGCATATGGTAGATTCACTTCCAATGTGGAAGGCTTCCGAAAAATTGATCTATTTATTCAGCAAACAGATGGGAAGAAAGTTTTGGATCCTGAAAGTCAGACTGCATTATGTTCTCGCTTGAAGGAAGATATGATTAATCCAGTCCGAGTAATCATTGCCAACAGGGGTCCGGATACAGAACTCTTGGTTGCTAATCCGGTTGAGTTGTCTGGAAACGGAAGGCCCCGTGTATTCTATGATGTAACTTTGGCTCTAAAGATGTTAGGAATTTTTATTTTCTCGGTAAGATATCATATCAATCTTTTTAACTATTATAATTATCTTTCATCTCCCAAGTGATTGAACTCCTTTCTTTCCTTGGTTTACAGGCTGAAATTGTTCGGCATACGACTCCTGTTCGCCAGTGGGAAGCTTACAAATTTCTTTTGGAAGAAAGCCGTGAATTTCCATTGGCGAGCAGTCGAGCTAGGAGTAAGATTGTGGATAGAGTTAGAAGAACTTTGATGGGTTGGTAAGGTGGTTAGTTTCACATGGGAAAGGTCAAGCAGTGTTTCCATTTAGTAACTGAGCCCCTTTTCTGGCATATCTGTCCTGTCAACGCAAATTTACATCTCTGAATCAGAGATCATGTTTGTCTGGTATAAGCAAGTTCAGAATGAGCAGAAGACGCTTCTCTGAGATTGTAGAAGTATTTTGTTATAATTTTTACATTAATTAAAATTCTGCAACTGTTTTTTCTTTTGCTTAAGAATTTGTCTCCAATGATTTCTCGTCCCTCCCTATCCCTCTTCGTTTGTTGTCAATTTTCTGTTGTCTATGTGGATTCCAAATATCTAATCCACTTTTGAAGTTCTGTGGGCCGTTTGGTAAACTAGTTCAAATGTTTTGAACCAAGTGTTCGGCAAATCTTTTTAAGGTTTGGTTCAAACCATTGATTTGATGTTTTAATCAAAACCTAAGGGCCCGTTCAGTTCGTTGATTCGAGTTTTTAATTCGAGTTAAGATGTGACTTTATGTGAGAGCTTTTTACTGTAGTAAAAAAGTTAGATGTGATTATTTTTTAGAGCTTTTTACTGTAGCAAAACTCGAATTCTAAACTCAAATCGGCGAAATGAACGGGGCCTAAAACTGTGAGAGTTTGTCCCCCCGTGTTTTCAATGGTTTGAACCCAAACTTTGTGATGCAGGGAACAACACTAGTGCTTCCTAAACGACCTGTGGTTTCTGATCTTTTGTGTGTTATGTCGTCTGTGTATGTTTCATTAAGTTGCTTGTCGTTTTTGGTTGTAAGCTGAACGCATCGTCAATGTTAGCATTGGCCTGTTTGTTTTATCTCTCTCGTTTGCTGTTTTAGAGACTCAGTTGTTGTCTTGTGATGAATTTGGCTGAGTGCCTATGCTCTGAGTGCCTATGCTCTGTAATCAACATGGCGCTGCAGTGCTATGCGGACAATTCCGTGTTTTTCAAGCCAAAAGTGATCCGGACTTACCCTATTTTGATTCCCAATTGAAAACCTATAAATAGGCAACTTGGGGGCTGATTGGGAGACCTTTTTATCAGAAATTCCAGCCGCCTTTTGGAGAGAAAGAGAGGAGGAATTCATCAAAAATTGAAGGGAGGATTCATTCGCATGTAGATTTTTCCAAGAATTAACAAGAGTTTTTCTTTTCTCCTTCTTTCTTTGAACTCCAAGATGTTTTTCATTTATTTTTCTTTGCTTTATTTTAGAATTATGCTAGCCTTTTTTTTTTTTTTTTTTTTGGGTTAAGGGTGATGTCCAAAACCTAGACATGGAATTGATTTTTGGATGATTTGATATTGTTCCTAATTTCTCAATAGAAATGGTTTACTTTCTTCCAATTTAATTATTCATGATTATTTTCTTATTTTATTTGGGTGCGCAACCAATTAAGATTTAAAAATAAATAATTTTATAAATAATTTTGTAACTTAAGTTGGACGCAACTCAATCATTTTATAAACAATTTATTTATTTATTATCCTTTTTTTTCGGCGAATGTTACTTATTTTGTCATGTTTTAACTTAATCTATTTTGTGTTGTTTAATTTGTTTTTATTTAATTAAGTGTTATTTTATTTATTTCAGTGTATTTTTGTTAAATTTTACTTTAATCTAGCAATTTTATTTGAATTACTTTGAAAATTTGGGGCAAAACGGTGTTAAAGTGAACAAAAGTAGCCTAAAAAATTTCCAAAATAAATAAATAAATATAAATTATAATAATAATTAAAATAATAATAAAGGATTTTTTCAGGCTGTCGGAACAAAAAGATTACGACCATGATTGGTGCGTATGATACACGCGCGTGAGGGCGGTGCGTTTAGCGGGCAGGACGCAGACAATTGCGTCAGTGTGGCAGTAGCGAGCCCCGCGGCTTTTTCCTCCGGCCAATGTGGCGACGACATGTGGCCACATAGTCGGCCACTAACTGGGCGTTCAGGATCAGATGTTCCGTACTTACGTGAGCTCACTTTTTTAACCCATTGATCTTTCGACACATGGCAATTCTTTAATCCAATGGTCCTCTTTCAATTGAGGCGGAGCCCACCATTTACACTAGCTAATTACCTACGACACGTGGTGTTTCACTGTAATGCACCACACCGGATCATTTTTCTCAGCATAAAAGAAAATTTAGGGTGTGTTTGGTTGTAGTGGTGGAATGGTAATAAGAATAGTAATAGAATGGAATTAAAATGTGCCGGAATCATAAACTGATTCTTTAGTTTGGTTGGAGTTATGGAATGACTTCATAATAGAATGAAATAAATTGCATTTTACCAAAAATACCCTTGAACCCATAACCTTCATCTTAACCAAAAACGTGAACGAACAAACAACCCCAAATTCAGAAAAAATCATTAGCTTATTCCGAACAAGAACAACTCCAAATCTAAAACAATATACTCCTTAGAAAAATAATTATTCAAAGTTTATCACAAATCTGAAAAAAATCAAAACCAAAACACGCCGACAAAGCAAACTTAGAGAAATATATCTCAAAAATTGCAAAGCAACTTCAATGAAAAAGACTGATTATGTGTGTTAAGATAGTGATTGACAATTCTCAATGTCGACGGTGGAGCGACAGAATAAAAAATAAAGAAAAGCTTGAAGCTTGAAGGTGAGCTTCAATGTCAATGGTAGAGCGCTGACGGCTCTTGAAGGAAGCTCCGATGTTGTTTGGCGACCTTGAGAGCACTAGAATGACACAATCTCCGATGATGCTTGGCGGCGTTCGAAGTGGCATTCGGGGTGGTCGCGACTATGATGCTCTGGCGGCAGTAAAGGGCTCCAAAGGATGCAAGCTTCGGCGATGTGTGGCGGCGTCGGCGTGGGCTTTAGAGGTGGACGCTAACTCCGATGATGGCCACCGGTGCTCGACGCAAGCATCAGAATGGAGTTTCAAGATATGCTTCTGGCTGGATCTGAGCAAAGATGTTGATGGGTTTTGATTTTGGTGTTGTACGTTGAAGATGAAGAGGGTAGTTAGGGAAAAAGTGATTCCACAAACCTCAGAATAGCAATTCCACTCTCTCACGGATGAATGGCCTTTCCACCAAAATGGGTGAATGGGCTTTACAATGGAAAGGCCTTTCTGAAGTTAATTTGTTAACCAAACAAGAGAATTAGACTTTAGCAAAAGAATTGTCTTTCCTTTCCTCCCAACCAAACGTACCCTTAGGGTTGATTTTGGGGGAGAAACAGACAGAAACATTTCATCCCTCCCCTGAAAAATGAATTGTCTCTAAAGTAATTGTGTGTGCGTGTGTATATAACATCTAACAACATATAAAAAAGCTAAGTGCTTTTTCTTCCAAACACTCACGTGGCAGCACATCCTCCTTCTCTCTCTTTTGTTTTTTCTTTCTTTTTTACTTTTTCTTTTTTCTTCTTTTTTTGTTAAATTTTTTGCTTTGCCTTTTTTTTTAACAATACGTACAAGAGCCAAGTGTTCTTTCTTCCAAATTACCACGTGGCAGTCCCTCTCTCCCGTCTCTTTTGTTTGTTTTTTCTTTTTCACTTTTTCTTTTATTTTTCTCTCTTTTTTTAAATGTTTTGATTTGCTTTTCTTTATTTACGTATTTTTCTGCAGTTTCATTTTTTACGTGTGTTTTTTTAAATATATTATTTTCTCACTTTAGTCTTATAAAAGTGTTTTTTTCATGCACTTCTATTTTTTTGTCAATAATTAAAATAATTTTCTTAAAATATCGAAAGAACTATTCTATAGCCGACTCTTGTAGTCAAATTGAGGGGCGCGTCCCTACTTAATTGTTTTTCACATAATTTTTGTAATATCAAAATTTATCTGTATACATATTTTTTTCTACAGTGCTTCCGTAGAACATTTTCTAAACTGCCACGTGATAATCCCTCCATTTTTTTTTCTTTTTTTAATTTTATTTTTTTACATGTATTTTGTTCTTTTCTAATTTTCTTTTTTTTAGTTTACCGAATAATCTTTTATAATTTAATTTTTAACGACTGCCTATACATTCAATGTAACAACTAAAGTATACAATCAAGTGAAATTGACTCCTAAGAATGCTAACCTACGTGTTGGCTCATTTTCCTTCTTCTTCTTTTACCTATTGTCTTTTTTGTTTTTACCTATAATATTCTTTAACAGTTATTTTTTTTACAATATCCTTCTTTAAAATACATTTATTTTCTTACTTTTTAATTAAAATAATTCATTTCAAATATATGCCTTTTTTTTTTTTTCAAAAACTCATATAGACCTTTAATTCCTTTTTTTTTCTTTTTTTAACTATTTCTCGTTTCCTCTTCTTTTCTTCTTTTTTTATCTTTTTTTTTAATTTTTTCTTCTTTTTCTTTTTTTGCTTATATTCTTTTTTGCCCTTAATATTCTTTAACAATTCATTTTTTACAGTATTTTTTTCTTTGAAATACTTTTTTTTCCACACTTTTTTTAACTAAAATAATTCCTTTCAAATGTCTCCTTATTAAAGTTTTTTTAATCAAAGATTCCTATTTAACTTCAATTTTTTTCAATATGATTTTTCAAAATATTTTTCTATTGCTATGATTAATGGATTTGGCTTCTAAGAAATGCGGGATCAAACTTATAAAATTATTCACCACGTGCAATGCACCCGGCTCAATTAGTATATCTAATCTAAATCTAGACATACATAAAAGAGCCAAAGAGGTTACTTCTCCTTTAATCATGTGTCAACCTCTAATTTATTCCTTCATTTTTGTTTTTGTTTTTGTTTTTGTTTTTATTTTCATTTTTTTTTACTTTTTCTATTTTTTTCACTTTTATTTCTTGTTGCTTTTTTTTTTGGCTTAAAACTCCTATACTTTTTATTTTTATGCTTTTCTCTTTTTCTTTTCTAAATTTTTTTCTTCTTTTCTTTTGCCTATTGTCCTTTTTCACCTCGTAATATTCTTTCACAATTTATAATTTTTTACAATATCATTTTTTGAAGTACTTTGGGAAATAGTAAAGAATATGCCAATTTAAAAACCTTAAGAAAGCATATAGGTCAATTTTTAGTTATAAAAATTAATAGGCCATAATTTTTAAATTTCTAAATTTACCCTTTCTTTTTTTTTTCCTTTGTTTCTTTCGATCGTCTATGTCTTTCTCTCTCTGTCGCAGATCTCTCTCTCTCTCTCTCTAGCTTCTTGCAGCTCTCTCTCTCTCTCGTAACTGCGCTTGGATTTTCTCTCTTGTCGGTGGATCATCGGTGGATCATCGGTTTTCCATTTGCTCGTTGGTGAATT